TTCTGCCCAGAAGGGTGAGGCCCGAGTCTTGAGGCTAATTTTCAGGAGGGTTCTGCTCAGGGAGTTCGACCGCATCCCTTCTGCTGATCATCTATTGAGTGTACTGTGAATCACCCGCCATGACACGGACGTTGACAAATAAAGTAGAACAAAAAAAAACTGATGAGAAGCCGGATGTTATTTTTTGGACAGAGAACCACTTTGAATTTAGTAAAGACAAAGATCCCCCATACAGGCTTAACAGACTTTTTGGGCAAGTACTGCGAGGGAGTACCTATGAAGGCCGGCACGGCACACGAGGGGGTGGGTGGTCAACACCACGCCCGATCGCCTTTGTATTCCGAGTGACGATGTTTACACACCGCACCAGGTACTCATTTGAGGCCGAGTCGACCTAGGAGGAGGACCGGTTCAGATAATCGTCACCGGCATTGGTGGCCGTGAGCGGGAATCGAACTAGGATCTGCTGGATTCATAATGCAGCACGTGAAACCTACCATTCACAGCATTACACACAAAGACACATACCTCACTGTGGTGTTCACACACACATACGCGCACGTGTACTACAACCGCTACACCACCGTTCCCCACTAACAGCTCTTACCTACACGCACACACCCTGGGCAAAACCCTGCTCGCCGTAACCGCCAAACTCGTCACTGCCTCCGCAGGCGCACGTGGCTTTTTCACGCGGCGGCGGTTACCGATTCTCTCCGTGAATCACCTGTGACCCGCACGCCACCCATCCCTCCCCCCCACGAGTGGTGGCCCGACGGGGAGAGAGGGCGAGCGACACAAGGGGGTGCCTTTGTGTGCGGCGTGATGACTTTCAGACGGCGGAATGCGCCGTCTGACAGGTGCGCCGCCGCTACTTTTCCCGCAGCCGCCCGCGCTTTTCGACGTCAATCGCTCGCGGATCGTGGTGCCGTGAGAATGTTTTTCGCGCAAAAAAAAAATACAATCCTTTTCGCAGACGATGGGGTTCAGGTCTCAAAAACAAAGACGTGATACTACGCGTATCAAACGAAAGCGTCCGAGCGAGGCAGTGAAACGTACAAAAACCGTTCGCCTACATACACACGGTTCGGCACAGCATAGATGTGATAGTGAATGCTACCAGGGCGGAACAAGGACACATTTGGGTGGTAATCTGGCGACACTGGTTTTAAGTTTGACGGTTGCACTCGCACAAATAATCTTTCTCAATGGTGCGTGCATTCATACACAAGGAGTCAAATGTGAGCGAAGTGATTCATAATTGGGTTTTCGGTTTAGGTCGTCGTGTAAACGAAATGTCTTGCAAACCCTCCTCCACCCGACACCACCGATTGGTAAAAGTTTCATGTGGCGGAACCCGGCATGAATAGCCGGTAAAATGGGGTGGACTCTGGGTACTGCGCCACCCTCCTGAACGCATGGTAATCGTTGCTCCTGCGAGATAACAAGACACATTTGGACATCGCTTTCATGTTATTCTATTTTCGGTTGTGTTCAGTTACATTATTCCTCCCATTTTCTTCCGCCCCCCCCCTCCCCTTATGTACATTTCTCCCGATCGTTACCCCTACCGCGAGTCGGGACGCCCTCGTTTATTCGTTCCCTAATGTCGAGGGTGCATTACGCCCTGGCTTGTTACGCGTTATCTGTTGTTTTGTTTCCCTCGTGTTGAAATTCCCACTGTATTCTGGGTTTTTTTTCATGATGAAAAAAAATTGTTTATAAAGTATCAAATAAAAGTGGCACTTGAATCAAACGCGGCCTAATTAATTACTGCTTTAGCAGCACTGCCGGTTTGTTGCTGGAAAATAATCTCGCAACATTTTAAAGGGGAGCGCGACGTTTCGCTGGAGACTGCCTCCAGCATCCTCAGGTTATCAGCTTAGATCTCAAGTGAAAGCACTTCCTGATCCGGGTCCTTGGGTAGATGCGGTACAATCATGCAAGTGGATCTAATAATTAATTAGTTGATTGGTTGTGACAGGCAGGGTTAGGTGAGTGTCATAAGGTGAATCTATGGAGCAATTAGTGAAAATAAGCCAGCAATTTTTGTTGAGGTGTATTGTAATGAAGCTGTGATTTTAATCCTATTGTGATTCTAGTTAAGCGTTAACAGGACGTACTTAGTGAGTTGTTACGAATGTAATCGAGTGTTATTTTGTTATTTAACGCAATCACAATTTAGGGCCATGAAGACGAGTATTTATTTCTAATTCCTGTCTGTATAAAATTGGCGAGTGAAGTGTTGGCAGGCGTGGCCAGCCATTGAATGCAGCGCGTCGTTTTTAACGTTACGTCAGCGCAACACCACTGACGATCGGCATGCACGGTAATTGCAGGTGGCCATAGGGGAGTTATAGAGGTGGGTTCATTAAAATCGTGCGGTCGAGCTGTGGAGGATTAAGTGGTCTATATAACTTAAAGAGATTGTAATCGGCCACATTGTTTTCATTGCTGCACTCCTTTTTGATAATTGCAGCCGTTGCAGCCACCAACGTTTTGGGAACAACCTTTAACTTTGTAAATCCTACTTAAAAAAAATATAATTAGCGCTGGATACAGTCACGCTTGCCAATTTGATATGTAACGTTGATCCTTACCTGCGTATCGATAGTTCAATGATAATGTAACATTTTATTGAGAGATGAGTGGTTGTTATCTTGGTGTGGTCTGGGACTATTCTGTTGTCGTTTTTGCTGCCTTAACCCATGCTCGATCGATCGGACTTATATTATAAATTAACTCATTCATTAATACATTATTTTAAAAACAATTATTTATATTTAGTGACTTGCTTACCTCTGTCTCTATTTTGCATGGCTATCTTTGCTTTTGTGTCGTTCCCTGTGGGAACTCGTTGACCCACCCACTCGCTGACCCGTCCACTCGCTGACCCACCCACTCGCTGACCCACCCACTCGCTGACCCACCCACTCGCTGACCCACCGACTCGCTGACCCACCGACTCGCTGACCCACCGACTCGCTGACCCATCCACTTGCTGACCCACCCACTCACTGACCCACCGACTCACTGACCCACCGACTCACTGACCCATCCACTCGCTGACCCACCCACTCGCTGACCCACCCACTCGCTGACCCACCGACTCACTGACCCACCGACTCACTGACCCGCCCACTCGCTGACCCACCAACTCACTGACCCACCGACTCGCTGACCCACCGACTCACTGACCCATCCATTTGCTGACCCACCCACTCGCTGACCCACTCAAACTGGACCTCTGTGAATAAAAGAGCTTCTCGGTTCGTCGGATTCCTCCTCCAGTCTCAATAAAGATTTCGATTCCGAATGATGGCCACCGCTGCCTCACACATGCTGCCTCCCGAAAGGCTGGAAACCGCCGGCAAAGCCACACAGAGCATTATGCAGATGCTGCCACCTCCCGACCAGTAGCACACACGGGAAGAGATGAGTATTTTTTTTTTACTAAACGATTTCCGTGTTAATCCGAATAGTGAAGTATTGGAACAGATAACTGGTAGCATAATCGATTATTTAAAGAATCAGATAGCATTATTAAACTAATTCACCAATTAACTCATTAAGCATGAGGTTTTTAAGTATACATGTACCCCATGTTTAACATTGTTGATGGGTTTACAAAGTAGAAAAGTTAAGCAAAAAAATGTTTTGGTACAAAAATATTACTTTTACATTAAAATAAGAGAAATTGTATTCCCAATACATATCTCAGGCCCTTTGTAAGGACCTGAAACACAACACACGCCAACGCAATAAATAATGTACCAGGATTTAACGCCGTACATTTCTGAAATTCCTGATTTGAAAATTCTAGGTTGTTGCCGCGAAAGAATTCATGAATGTGTACGCCTACTTAAAGTGTGCTGGCATGCGTGCACACACACACACACAAACACGTTACATAAACAAAATACTTAACCTCGTTTCTGTCTCTCATCTTCCAAGCACCTCGCTTTTGCATAGGCCAATCTCCGTATCCCGACGAGCTCATGCCAAGCCAACTGCACGAACATCTCGACACATTCCTCGATACCACAATGAAATGTCAAATATAATATTGGTGACGTTTTGGCCAGAAGCCCTTCCTCGTGGCACATCAATGGAGACCCGAGAGAGTGGATAACAAGAGTTGGAGACTATCTCTCTGGACGCTCGATATGGATTGAATTTTAAGGCCACAGTGGTAATCATGAATGTGTTGAGCTTTATTGGGTTACTTGCGCTCGTGCACCACTGCCAACGCAGCGAGCAGCATCGCTAAATAATTTGTTCAACTCCAGTGTTGAAAACTGGCATTATGCCTACACGACCTATTCCAACAGTAACTAATGACGAACTGTTATATAACGTCCGTGCATAACGAGTGGAACGAGGTGGGATTCAATTCATGGAACCCTGACAAATTTGCCACCTCCGTAGATAAAGAGCAAATAAAAGCCCCCCCCGTCATGTGTCAACATAACAGATGCACACGACAACAACAGGGTGAACATAACATCGCAATTTCAAGTATGCAGCCTCGCAATGACCCATAACTACACTGAAGCCGCCTCTAATTTTAGTCGTGCACAGATTACTCAGAGAAAAACACGAAAGTGTTTATCAGATCCAACCTGTTTACGTCGCCATTACGAGAGTGTGTGTTTTTAATGCCCCCACCCCACCCCCGTATCTGTCTGAATAGATGCGAAATACATATTAATGTGTTATTAAACTACACGCCTTCCACAGAGGTGTCATCCATGATAAAATAATTATAGTTAAGCAGCAGTTTGAGATCGTAGGGTATGACTTACACTTCAAAATGCACATTATCGTCATTGTGTAAGAATGTAGATTAAAAAACATAGGAGAGCAGAAATTACGTCCCATTAATGTTTGATGATACATGAGCTGGGCGAGATGAGTGAGCTGGGTGAGCTGGGTGAGTTGGGTGAGTTGGGTGAGTTGGTGGCTGGGTGAGTTGGGTGCACCATGGACACGCTACTCACATGCCAGGGATGGTCATGCATGGGCAGGAGGTGCTGGTGCAGAACTCCGACACGGTGCTGTACTGCAGGTTGACGTGGTTGAAGAACGTCGTTGCTGCAATGGGACGACACGAAGAAAGTCAACCCCCAGTTCAGTCATTCACTGCCTTCCCGCACACGGCCGGTGTGTGTGCGTGCGTGCACGGTAGTGTAGCGGTTAGCGCGTTGCGCTACGAATCCGAAGACCCGAGTTCCATTCTCGCTCACGGCCAACACCAATGATGATTATTTGAACCGGTCTTGGTCCTCCCCTAGGTCAATTCATCCTCAAATGAGTATCTGGTGCGGTGTGTAAACATCGCCACGAAGGAGACAAAGGCAGCCGGGCGTGGTGCTGGACACCCACCCCCTCGCTTGACCGTGCCGGCCTTCGTGTGCGCACTAACAGAACTTACCCCAACAGTCCGTTCAGGCTATGCGGGGGATCTTTGTCTCTGTATGTATGTTGAACCTCTTTCCGACCGTACGAAGCCAACCATGGTAATCGGACGTGCGTGCGCCAATCTACATTATTACGGCAGGGCCCAGTCTCCGAACAGCACAACCACGTGGGTTTCCAAAAACCGGCACGCACTTTATCAACCCCGGAGGGGATGAAGAGCAGAGTTGACCCCACCTAGGATTTATTAGTCAGGTGCTGTAACATTCGTGATGGATAAACGTGCGTGTGTGCGTGTGTGAGTGCGCGCGTGTAAACGGACAGCCATTTTGTCAATCCACTGCGGGTCAGTGCGGGTTTAGGAAGCGGGCAGCACAGATGTGGGGAGCACAGAAGTAGAGTACAACAATGCATTTTGCTGTATTGCCATCTTCTGGCCACCACCTTAGCCAGCCCTCCCCAAAACAAATACGCACCTTTGGGGGCTATTTGACCGTACTTCCTCGTACGTACGTACGTGTGACATCTCACAAATCCTGCCGCCCATATCTGCCCGAGTTTAGACTGCACACCGGGGTGATGAGGACTCCAAGGCCATCGAACGAAACGGAACGTCCGCTCTCCGAAACGTTTCCGGCTCGTGCCCGCCGTGGCGCTGTTCGGAACGATGTCCGACGTTTCGCTCCGCGTGCCGGGTAGCTAACTCGCTGGCTCTGGCCCCCCTTTTCAGTGAGGAGGAGGGGGTGGGGGGCGGAGGTGGGCAGAGGGGGGTGGGCAATGCCTAGCCACGAAAAAACCCCACACGCACGGACGGGAAATGTCCTGAGGACGGGCAGCCGGGGAGATTAAGCCAAATTAAGGACCGTCCAGCGCGCTGGGCCACGTTGCCCACTGCTCACGTTTATTTATTCGGATCGTTTAGCCGCTCCGAGTTGAGCGCATTAGAAGGAATTACTTGTTCCAGGGTCAAACAAAAAGACCATTCTAAATCAAATGGCTTTTGGGATTTGCCCAAAGCTTCTCAATTTGCAGAGTATAAATAACCGACACCTGCTGTGGTGGCGGGTCCACCACGCCTGTAATCCTCGACGTGTCGAGGGGGTTGGTGGATCGCTCCAGAGATGGAGCTGTCGCGCGAGTCAAATCGCCCAACCGCTGGGACGCTAAAAGCCTCCTGACGTCCGCCTGAGATAGATTTACAGGACTCCTCTCCTTCGTAATCCTATTACTCACGACTCCTATTATCTGCCGAAGCTTTAGGATCTGGAAAAAGTGCTATTATCCGTAAACCTTATTTTTCCTATTATCTGGAAGAATGTCGCATCTTGCTTCATGGGAGAGCTTTCTATTATCCGCAATTTCTTAACCTGGTAAGAGGAATTGTGCGACATTTTAGCCCTATTATCCGCAATGTTCCCCCACCATCACTACGGATGGGAGTTCTCCTGTAGGTGAAATCAATTATATAATTTCACCTCCAATTGGCACGGTTGACTGTGTACGGTGCAAAAGAAGTTCAACATACCAGGTAAAGAGCTACATGCGTTTGAATGTTTTTCACTTTTAGGTGTGAGGAGTCTCAAGGCAATCTACTTTCATTCAACACGTTAAAATATTCAACAATTAAACTGACAAAAAATGCTAATGCCCAGAGCCTCATGTCAAAGTCTTAATGCTTACTATAGCTTTACAAGCAAAACAAAAGAAATGATCTGAAGTCAGAGTGACTCCCCGCTGAGCAGCTTCTGGGGCGATGTTCTTCTTCTCAATTGGTGGTCATGAACCAGCGATGGACTTTCCACATTACAATGGTGGGGGCCATTCTCTCCATTCGACAACCACAACTGATTTACCACAAAGCGGTGCAAAATGTATTGGCCAAAGAACCGATGTGGCCGACTCGAACTTATTGGGATTTGAACTCGCAGCAATCTCTGGTGAAATCTACGGCAATTGTCCTACGGACAGACTCAACCCCGGCCACGAGAATGTGGAATTCCACCGCTGGCTCACCGGCCGTGAACGGAAGATCAACACCGCCCCCATGATGCTCGATTGAGCATGGAATCCCTTGGACTTTTGACCTCACCGCTTCGGGAAGGAGAACCAACAAATATAAAAGCGTGGCCCTGAAGCGGTTGGAGAACAGGAGGGGGAGGGGGGAGGACAGCCGCGGGAATCGGAAGTCTCAACAAAAGGAGTCACGGGGCGACGGCCGAAACATCACCCGAGCCCCCGTCGTGGTAGCGCAGTCCCCATTAATTACCAGGTAAAGCTCTTTTTCACGAGCGACCTGGCCACAAATGATAGTCCAACGAACTGGCTCATTGCGTGGAAATGTATAGCAGCCAAATACTCCAAACGCGATTCTAAATGTAGAGGGAAAAACCGAAGGACCCGGAGAAAAATCCACGCAACCACGGGGAGAAGATGCAGCATGCATTCTCTCTTGGCGAAACCCAAGTCTCTCGGCCTGGCCCGTCCAGGGAGCCCGCACACAAATTGCTGGCATGGGATAGGGGGAGCGGAGGGCAAAGGTCATGCGGGCCAGTAGGCATGCGCGCGCAAACGTACGCGCAGGTGTGCCCGCAGACGACCGACGAACGCACACTCCGGACACGGGCACACACGCCAATGTAGGTTCGTAGACAGATGTACGACGACACAAACACACGCACACGCACACGCACGTGCAGGTATGTCCACAAACAGACATATAAACAGCAGACGCACGCACACTGACACGGACATTCAGATACGTAGACATTTAGAGACACAAATATATCCAAGGATTGCATGCAGACCCAAACATACATACAGACACACACACATTTTCAGATACATAAACATAGAGACACACACCAAAATACATGCTCACAGACCCACAGACAAAGGTCTCATGTATTGCCTAAACAAACTTTTGGGGCAAGTGCTGTTTGAAAGCACATATTAAGTCCGGCACAGCACATGAGTGAATGGGTGGCCAGAACCACGCCCGGCCGCTTTTGTTTCCCCAGTCCTGATGTTACACACTGCACTAGGTACTCATTTGAGGCCACGTCGACCTAGGGGAGGCCCAGGACCAGTTCAGATATTTGTCACCGGTGTTGGCCGTGAGCGGCAATCGAACTCTGGTCGCTGGGTTCGCAGCGCAGCACGCTAACCGCTACACTCGACAAACACATTGAGTTACATAAACACAGAGACACACACCCGAAGACATGCCCACAGACTCGCACACACACACAAAGGCACACACATTTAGGCGCAGACACACTAAGAAAGGCCGTTCATATTTTCTCTGCACATATGTTGGCCATGGCCACGAATCAAACTCTGGTAAATGGCTGCAAAGAACAGTGCAGCACCGCTCTTCCGCACGCACCAGCGCCTTCGGACTGCCGGACTGTCCGTTTTACCTCAATCACTACACTGCAGACTGTTGGGGCAAGTGCTGTGAGCGAGCACCTATGAAGGCCGGCACGGTACACGAGCCGGTGGGTGGCCAACACCATGCCCAGCCGCCTTGGTCTCCCTAGTGGCGATATTTGACAAATCTGTATTACCGATGAGGAGACGTGTTCTGGATGATGAGGCATGAGACCTATGCTTCTTCTGGTGACCAGATTTCTAAACAGGCATATGAATTATTACCTAAATTAAAAGACAAAAATCTCTTCAATAATCACACTCACAGATCGCAGATTCACATTCACAGGAACTCAGACAGACAACGACTGTGACTCACAAACACAAAGATCCCCCGTATAGCCTGTAACAGACTGTTGGGGCAAGTGCTGATAGTGAGCACCTATGAAGGCTGGAACGGCACTCACAGCACAGCCGAAATGTCACTGCGTGCCCATAGGCGCTGGAGAGTTGGACACCTTGCGAGGACACCCGAGTAAAACGAGCCGGTCTCAACCAGTCACTTCAACGAGTCACTTCTCCTTCAGAGACATTCTCACGAGTTTGTGACTCTGATGACAATGACACCCCTGGGGCAAAAAAAAAACAGCCCTGCAAAGGAGGGTGGAGGAAACGCATTGGGGTCAAACAGCCGTGTTTTTCGTCACGTGCAAAACAAATTCAGCCTTTTGTTTGTAAACTACATCCAACGAGGCAATTGTTTTCTAATGTTCGTGATTAAACAAACAACTTTTTAGCTGTGGCTCACCACGGGGAGTAGGATATAATGCATGGACAAAGGAACGGGAAAGGGAAGAGAGAAGAGAAAGAGTGGAAAAAGGAATTGAAACACGTGATCCATGAAAGGTTCAGTAGAGCTGGGGATAGGCTACATGAGGGCCTTGTGATAGACAGTAGGCACGGCTCAAGATGCGCAGCAGGGAGAAAGAAGGAGCGGCGGGCAGGGAGGGGTAAGAGGGGGGGAGAAAGAATGACCGTGCCGATGAGAGGGTGATGGCGACGACGATCAGAGGGGATGAGGGAAGAGAGGAGAGAAGGAGCGAGCAGAATTCAGTGGCGTCTAGCAGCGTCTTGTTTTCGAAGGCGGCAGGGAGAGGAGAGGGATTCCATGTGGGTGTGGCCACACAGACGTCACGTGATTTACGGAAGGCGTGAGCTGACTTAGATATGTATGATGTTAATACGAGTTGTTGATGAACACTTGAAAGGCCCAGGAAAGCCCATTTATGCAGGACAACCTAAAGTCCTGCTTTTATGAGGTCCCTGCTTGGGAAGTTTGGTTCAGTTCCTAAATGAATATTTTTTTTTGGAAGTGATGATGATGATGATGTATTGAAGAAAAGCAATATTTTACAGGATGATGTTCAGTTTTGACATCTAGTCAAGGTGGGAGATGCAGGGGTGAATTTCAGAGATATTTATGGGGCATGACTAAAACAGTGGACTGCTGTTCATTTAAAATTTTAATTGGAAGAGATGCCTGGAGGAAACCCATGCGCAGGAGAGGAGAATGATCAAACTGCTATCAGAAACCTACAATAATAATGATGATGAATTATTTACCCAGAAAATCCACGTCGAGTCCGAAGATGCTTTTTCTACATTGGGATGTTTGTCCAACACCGGGTCACATGGCGTGTTTTTTTGTTTGTTTGCCATCGGAAGAAATCGGAGAAGCCGGAGGAAACCCACGCAGAACTGAGGAGAGACCGAGGAGAAACCGCACAAACTCAAACAAACTGCACGAGGAGAGTGGCTCCCGAATCGCGAGTGGAACCCAGGCGCTTCTCGCTCGTGAGGTGCGTGCGTCGCCGCCTCGCCTGCCACTGAATGTCTCCATGAGCGCGCGTCGCACGGACACGGCAATGGATTCTCCGGATTACAAAGACGCGTGTCTCCTGGCCTTTCCTTAAAAAGCACGGTGGGGGTGGGTGGGAAATAGCGCGTCTCATAATCCGCGGAATATGGCGCGGCTGAGAACGCAAGGATCGGCACGACAAAAGATCGTCTTTTTTATATGTAAATTCAAAAACGTGCACTTTACATAACCTACAAAACTGTGCCGGCAGCTTACATAATAACGCACACGAAGTAGACGATTAAACTAAAACCAGCACAGCGGCCGTCACAAACACGATCATCTATACATTATACATAACAGTGTTTACATATTGGGATCGCGTTTCCGTAAAAGGTTGTTAATTCCGTGAAATGTTTTTGCCATTGTGACATGTTTCTATAGAGCGGCGCGCTCCGGTAATTTTCCACTCAATGGCGGGCGAGCCCTCCCCGTGTCACGATCAACCAATTACACAACAAAGGCCAGCAGCAGCAGCAGCAACAACAACAACAGCAGCAGCAACAAGTCTTGCGCCGAGCCTGGGGGGACTGATAAACCGGGTGAACGCCCAGAGAGATTCATTATCTCTTTTACAACAGGTAGGTGGAAAGTTAAACGAGCGTAGGAGTGGCGGTGCAATGCTTCCACAGGCCCTCTGAGCATGCCTGGGGGGGGATACCCCGTGAGGGACGTGTGTATGTTGAACTTCTTTCGCGCCGTACGTAGCAAACCGTCCTAATCAAAGATGCTCAAGGCAGTCAACGGGAGACTTTAAGGACACTGCACCATGGATGCGGTGAGCAGAGTTTCAGCTGGTGTTCCTCGGTGTAGAATTATATAATTTAGCTCGGCGCTGCTGTGGTTAGAGCGCGGGACTCGCGTTACGAAGCTTTTGCGTTCCGTTTGGAATTCAACCAAGTTCTTCATCATCAAGATAAGCCCTCTGGGTTTATTAAAAGAGGATCACTTCACGCAAAGTCAACAATGCGTACGCCATGGATAGACGGGCGTCTGCCGTCGGGGAACGTGTAATTTACTTCATTGACTCAGGATGGCCAATGGACACGAGTGGACAGAGACCATGACCGACGTCCCACCCCGACGATAAACATGACAGCCACTCTGCGGGAAATCAACAGTAGCTTGTCATGTGGATAGACTGGCCTCATGGGAGAGACTTGCCTCATGGGAGAGACTGGCCTTTGCCACAGGAATGTGGAAGTTTGATTTGCGCCAGCGATGTCGACAAATCACAGGGTGCACACCCACAACAACAACAAACACCCGTCATTCGCCACTAAGTGGCGGTCACGTCACCACGGTGCCTGTGCCAGGCCAGGTGCACTTTTGAGGCCACGTGAAGTGTTGAAGTCTCGCTGACAGGAGGTCACGGGACAGACCCAGCAAGTGCCATGGGTTGACTGACCGAGATGCCAACTTTCTGCATTTTCGCCGCCCAGAGGCCCCGCTTTATTGTTGCGAGCGTCGCTCCTCCGCCCTCTGTTGTTGTTGGAGGGCGACTGCCCTCCCAATGCACGGTAGCGTCCTTCGCACCCACACCACCCCCGACGCCTGCGCCATCACCGGGCGAGGCAGCGCACGTCCTGTGATGCGGCGCACGTCCTGTGATGCGGCGCTTCGGGAGGCAAGGATCGGTGGATCGGGATGGCTCTGTGACACCCTCAATCCCGTCGGGGGCTGCGAGGTGGCCAGCAAACAGAGATGGGCACTGTCCAACGCTCACCGAAATACGGTGACACTTATAATTATGTTATTTAATCATCACCCGCACCAAGCAGGGTGTCCACATTCACGAAGGCAATGTCGATGCTCGATCTGAGTTCACGTCCTTTAAACTCCCCACTGCTCCTAAAGGTCCCACACCGCTTCTCAGGGCCTGACCGCCCCCATCACTGCTTCCATCAACACCCCCCTATCACCGTTCCTCATCACCGCTACTATCAGCGCCCCCCATCACTGCTCCTATCACCGTCCCCCCATCACCACTTCCATCACCGGTCCCCGGTGTCTCCCCCACTCCCCCCGGCGGAGCGGCACTCACTGTAGGTGGCGAGCCACTCGTTGCGGTCGATGGCCGGAGGGAGCCGCACGAGCGAGCGGAAGTCGCAGTCGGTGACGTGCGCGCGCGCGTACTCGAGCTCCAGGTAGAGCTTCTTTGTCTCCGAAGATTTTTCCTTTTCCTTCTTGCTTTTCCTGCTCGCGCAGCGGACAAAAAAACAAAGACAAAGGTGCCGTTAGCGCACACCTATGAAGGCCGGCACGGCACACGAGGGGGTGGGTGGCCAGCACCATGCCCGGCCGCCTTTGTCTTTCCAGTGGCGATGTTTACACACCGCACCAGGTACTCATTTGAGGCTGAGTCGACCTAGGGGAGGCCCAGGGGAGGTGAGTGCCGCTCCACCGCTCGTTAAGAGCGCGGGAGATGCTCCGAGGTTTATAATTGAGGTGCGGTCGTTGGAAAACAAAGCGCCGATTCTATCCAGTCGCTGGACACGCAATTCCACACCAGGGTGACACATCCTAGCCACGAGTCACACGTGACCACCACGCCACAGGGCGTCTCCCATCGAGAGGAGGCGAGGAGGAACACGTGCGGTTTACAGCGAGGCACACGAACGTCAACAGGCGACTCGTTGTTGTCACAACAAAAACAGAGCGGAGCAACGCAGACGTCCAGAATAAACACCTAATTCGAGACCCAAACACCATCGCACCTCCTCGCTTCCTTCTCAAAGACACCGGTGGAACTAACATCAACCGGCCGATGCATACATCTCCTTTATTCAATGGAAAATTCAAGACACAGGCTCAGCAAGCACCGACGGATGCGAGCACAGAACAACACTCACTTGCGCGCGCATCACAATTCAAACATACGCACAAACAGACGTACGTGGCGCGCGTGCGTATACACGCTTACGCAACGTTAACCACCAGCCGACTGCCGTGACGACGCGCCGAGAGACGGCGCTTGCTGCACGCGGCGCACTCAACCTGCGCTCGAAGCGAAGACAAATCACGGCGGCAGTCAGTGCGGGCCGGCGCAACGCGAGCGGACGCCCCTCCGTCCGTTTACCGTGAAACCCCGCGGAGCTCTCGCCGCCGTCACCCAATTGTAACTCCGGTGCCCAGGGCGGTGGTTCGCGAGGACCGACGGCAATCGTGGGAGACACCGCCGTTGATCGTGGTCACGCGAGGGGCTTGGGCGGGCGAACGTGTCGCTGGATGGGGATCGATGGCCATCGGTCGTGAACTCGCAAACGGAGCGGCAGCCAAAATAAATTATAAACTTTTGATTTTACCAGCTCAGGCCCACTGAGCTATGTAGCTCTTTTTCAGAAGTGACCTGGCCACAAATGCTAGCTCAACGAAGTGGCTTATCACGTGGAAATATACAGCAGCCAAAAACTATGAATGCACGTTGACCCTACATGTGGAGGGGAAAACAGGACTCGCAACAATTTTAAGTAGTTTTTCATTTAGTTTTGTTAAAGTGATGATGATTTGAAATGTACACAAGGGCTTTCTCTGGATACTCCAGTGTCCTTCCACACAAAAATACTCAACATCTCTGCGTTCAAAATTAGAAGAGCTACCCTACATGTTTGTGCACGGGATTTCCCGAATAAACAATGAACTGTGACTATATCATCCCGTTGCGATAGGCCAAGGCATCTATCAATGTGTTGCAAGTCTTTCACGTTCTTCACAATCCCATTGCTCCTCTTATCAGCTCTACGAACATAATAATCCATGGCCGCCCATTTTACTTCTCCCAGAATACACTGCTTCTTTGGTAGCCCAATGAATAGGGCCCTTCTTGTTATCTAAGCAGATGGACAATTATGGGTGGCTTCTTATGGGAGGTATGAGGGGCGGTCTTTCCCTCCTCCGGGTTAGCAGCGTTGCTTCTAGTTAACAATAACTAGCCTCTAGTTAACAGTAACTAGCTTCTAGTTAACATTACCTAAGCAACCAGTGGACGGTGGCCAAGACGATGGCTAAACATCTCGATGCACGATCCTCCAAATAAAAAAACATCCCCCGAGACTCAGTGAGGCGCTTTTTAAAATCCTTTATATTAAGTTCACTTGCTTGCTTGCGCACTTACGACCGTGCAAATCTTTCGGTCGTTTTTTAACCCACTTCCCGTGATCCAATCGAGCTGACATTTTGCACACAGACTCAAAAATGTTCCACTTTTTAGGGAAAAAAAATGTCACTAACACAATCATATATTTTTCCTAAACACAGAAAATTATTCAAGAAAACAACAAAAATGTACAATATAAACAATCATACAAAAACTGAAAACCTTATAATCCTTATATACGACTTTCCTTATATTTAATTTAAAATACCAATGTGATAAAAATGAAACTCTTACTCAAGAAAAACAGAAATGAATAATAAAATAAAACCGATGCCACGCATATAAAGGATTTATAGTGAAAAACTTTGTTTTTACGGGTTAATTTTTATACACGAAAAAGGGAACAAGCGTTGCACGTGGATACAGAATCCTTCCTATGTAGACACGCGATGCTGATCCGTGTTAAAAATAATACGCGCGAGTTTAAAGTCCGGGCGCTCCGGTTTCATTTTGCGTGCGCATCGCTCGTTCCAGCGCGGTGGTGGTGGGGGGATGGGGGACACTGTGACCTTTGCCTAAATAAAGAGCACGGCAGAAAGGATACGTGCGCAACACACCACCTGACCATAACCCTGATCCAGATAACGATCCGTCCAATTTGCATGTGAACCCAGCAGAGTGACAGATGCAAAGCAGCAGGGCTGAGGTCAGGTCCACGTGGACCGGGGTTCAACCGCAACGGTTCCCACTGCGTCCCGGTTGTACTGTAGTCTACTGTATTCTCCGTCATGATAAGACGCTCTGGAAAGTAGGGCGCACTCCGAATGTGTGCCCGGTGCCAATAATGCTCTTCTAATCTGGTCTCACACACACACACAGGTGTCTCTATTAGATTAACAAACGCACCCCCAACTTTTTCTTAAAAACGCAGTGGGGTGGGGGGGGGAAGTGTGCCCTATAAACGGGTGAGTAGGATAGCTCTCCGATGTGTTTTCGGTGTTAAATTGCACGTTGTTGAGCGTTATGCCTGATGTTTTTCTCCACGTACTTGGGACCTTATTCAGGAAACGTTGATATAGTTTACATTTTTCGATTTAAAGCTTTCGTGACTGCAGGGATTCATCTTCTTGGTTCTTTCAGTAAAGTCACGTATATTATTATTTCCCTTCTATGTGACTTTACCGAAAGAACCAAGAAGATGGTTCTTTCGGTAAAGTCACATAGAAAGAACCAAGAAGATGGTTCTTTCGGTAAAGTCACATAGAAGGGAAATAATATTATTATTTTGGTAAAGTCACGTAGAAGGGAAATAATATTAAATAATATTATTTCCCTTCTACGTGACTTTACCGAAAGAACCAAGAAGATGATGATATAGTTCCTGCTGCTGCTACTGCTGCCGCCGCTGGTGTCCGACGTAATCCAGTTCCTGAACAAGCTCCCAAGCACGCGGTGCAGGAAACGCGCGGCACCGTGCAGAACGTCACGTGCTACGACACGAACACAAAAGTGTAAGAGGTAAAACGTATCCTTGTTTTTTCATACTTTGATACTGAAAAAAAGGTCCCATTTTGTAGCTGCTCGCCGCGAGCTATAGAAGCTCCGATACGTGTGGCATTGTCCTTGTGCTGTTCACCTTTTGGCGTTACCTGATCTGACCGCTGGTGAGACTCGACCCTAAAGAACCCTGTTGACTCTGGTGTAGGCCAATCAATCTTGATTAGAAGCTTTCGTGACTGCAGGAATGCATACTCTTTGGTTCTTTCGGTAAAGTGACGTAGGTATGAAATACAATTTATTTTATTGACTTTGACCAAAAGAACCAAAGAGTATAGGCCAATCAGTTTCAAAGACAATGCGCATGTTATTATCAGAGCATGTTTGTTTGCATGTTCACCACAAGTACGTGTGGTTAACAGAGACATGATTCCTTGCAAAAAGGTTTCTATTTGGTGGCTGGACATCTTAACACCTGTTTTGTTGGCAAAAAGGGTCAAATATATTCTTATGTTTTCATGTAAGAGACCTTGTCACGCACTCTCCCGAGAGCCGGAAGGAGATTGCCGCCTTTGACCTGGCCGCAAACTTCAAGGTGCAGCGAGGAAGTCGTGGACTTTGTCAGGCGATGCAAATTCTGAGCGGCGGCGTTGCGAAAGGAACGAGCGCGCGGTGGTCACGCTCGCCGGGGCCATGCCGCACCCCCGCTCGCCCCCGCTCGCTCGCGCTGCCCCAGCCAGAAACACTTTTCACTGGGACGCCGTCCGTGATGACATTACGATGCGTATGTATGTACGCATGTTGACAGCTACACTGTTACCTTTCTTCCTGCCAAGTTTTGGTGAAAACAAAACTGATGCCTGCCATCGCCAGCAGTGCGGCAAATGGCCGAGAGCGGAGTGTTCTGTCCATGTCATCATGTATGTACGTTTGTTGAACTTTTTTTGCATCGTACGTAGCCAACTGTGCTAATCGGAGGTGCGGGGAAGGACAACAAACGAAACACAAAGAGATGTGAATCTGGACTGAGATGCTCAAGGACTCGTGGTTCGTGTTTTAACGATAATCATGCAGATTTAGGTTTCAATGGACGTGATGATGCCATAAAAAGAAGTTGTCAAGAAATGAGTTCTCAATCCCAATGATTTGAAAGTGCGTAGCTCCAGTGGATGCCTAATATCGGAGGGAAGAGCGTTCCAGACGGCCGCGGAATCGCATCTGAAAGCGCGCGATGGCGGGTGACCGTCTTTGTGTGACGCATTATTGCTGACCCTCCCATACAGGACATCTGTGAAAAAGAGCTCCATAGCTCATCGGATTCCTCCAGTCGACAAAGATTCTGATTCATGTTATTTTTTTGCGGATAAAACAGCAATAGTATGAAGACAAATCGACTCGCGATCAGAAAACTGCGAATGACAATCCCAATCGGGGGTCGACTCGGCCGATTAAACTTTTCCAGGACCCCAATAAAATGAGTAGCACTTTATTTTGAATCAGTAGTGGTTGCAGCTATGGACAATACTGACCTCCTGCTTGGGAATATGTAATCTCCACCACCAATGCAGGGCCGACCAACAAAGGTGTGAGCAGGAGAAATGTA